GAACCTCTAGAACCTATCCGTGCCTTGCTTACGCGACCGCAGGTCTGCGTGGCCTCAGTTTTCTCTTGCTACTGTCGAGCACGGGAGTTCCCGCATCATGTGCTAAATAAAGCTTCACACTCAGACGGTTACGAAACGCACAAGGGTTGTGCAAGTCGGGCGCTGATAAACACGGAGGACCACGACGGTGGTTCTCGGTGTCCACCACGGGGGCTGCAGCTCTCTGCTGCGGCCCTTACTGTCCTGGCCGTGAGCTGCTGAGCCCCCGAGGAAGGGCAGCAGTGGGAGGGAGGCACAGCCCCCTGCCTGGCTGCAGCCACCCCAGCCAGCGCTGTCCTCTGCGGGATGACGGGGCAGCCAGGAAACACCGTCGGAAGCCCTCTCTGTCCTTCTGGTTCTCTGATTGTTATCTTCATACCCGCGCCCGAGCATGTGCCATTTCATTTGTTGTAGATGTTTACAGTTCTGGACACTAAAGGAAACTTACAGATGCCCTTTCTTCCTGTGCTTGTTCAGTCTTTAAATAGCGTTAACGCTGTTTCTACTCTGTGAGCTTTCTCATCTGGTCAAAGTACCAGGTCATTCAGCAGTGAAAATCCTCTGATCACACTCGTCTTCTCACCCCTGAAGAAATGCAAAAGGCTCCAAAGCCAGCTTTAGGCAAAGGGCTGTGATGGCCACTCAGCCACTGCCTGCAAAGAACAGCAAACATCCTTTTCAGCGGAGACCTGTGAAAGCCCAGGTCAGCTGTCAAAGCCAGTGACGGCACGTGTGGTTGTGTTTCTGAAGAGAGAGTGAACCCGGAGGAAGCCTTGTGTGCAGAGAACGTGTTTCTCCTCACACCAGACATCACCCCCGCGGGCACGGCCCAGCCAGCGCTTTTCCCTCGGGGCCACAGTGCCACGGCTGCTCTGCTCTGTGTGTGCAGCAACCTGTGCTCAGCATCTCCTGGATTTCAGACCAGACTCGGGAGTCGGTGGAGAGAGAACTCCAGTACAGTTGGAAGCTGTGGCCGGCAGCCCCGCCCGGTACCGGTGCCGGGGCGAGGCTCACACGGCATCAGCTCCAGGTTATAAATCGTGAATTGCCATACAGGTGGATTTATTCCTCTCGGCTGGGTGCAAAGGAGCAGCCAGGCGTTAGCTATGCATGATGTACTAGAGGTGACAGAGGTGACAGCGAGTGTAGCATTTGCCACACTGTTCACCGTCACTGAGAGTGGTCGCATCGTTAGTCCGTGGCATCATGTCCGTGGGTGACAGAGACAAGGCAGGCAGAGCTGCCCACCCCCTCACTGGCCACATTCACTCCACTAAAGATAGTGGTCCTTAACCGGAAGTGACTGGAATAAACACCATAAAAGTTCATTTCAGTCCAGGAGTGTATGAAATAGCCTGGCCACAGTACCCAGACCAAGTGAGGTGGTCTCTCCCTGTTGACGCACATCCAGCGGGTCCCCAAGTGCCACTCAGTGTGAAATGACCCCAAGGAAAGGCAAGAGTGTGGATTCTGATCATTGAATGGCAAAACCGATGTGTCACGTGTGGCAGGAGCCTGAAATAGATTATCGAGGAGATACTTGTGAGAGGTAAAGAGCCTTGTGGTCTGAAGGCACCAAACTGATCCTGTTGACACAGGATGCCACCAAGACATTTGCACTTCTCGCCGCGTCGGGAGAGATGTTAGTGACATTGCAACAGATAATAATATGAAGTTTGAAACTGGTTAAAATTCAAGAAACCTGTTGATGGGCCACTTGGATAGAAAGGGGAGGGGCTGGTGAGTGCTGGGCCCTGCTTTGACCTTGAATGCTTGGCATTTTAACTTGAGTGACTTGAGTTGTAGAGCTTAGCAAGTGCGCTAATCAGACGTGGGGATGATAGAGTTTGAGGGAGCTAGCACAGGAAACAACAGAATTTAAGCTGACAGTAGTTTTGGTTGGCTAGAAAACGATCAGAGGAAGTTCGACAGAGATGCTCCCAATCCCTGGAAGAACAGATACAGACTTACTCGGAGGCCCAGCTTGAGCACGTTTCACTCAGGGTTTATAGCAGGCCTGCTAACTCACCACCCCAGGATGCTGTAGCTACACACTCGGGACATGTGTACACGCACACACATGCATGCACACCCACTGTGCCAAGGGCTGGGATGGCACCGTCTAGCCGCCCTCTGCCCTGGGCAGACCACGCCAGCAGTACCATATTCTGCAGCAGCACAAATGGACGAGCGCTGGAAGGGGAGGTGCAGGCCGGAAAGTGCTGGATTCTGAAACACAGGGATGAACGAAGGCAGCCAGGGCCCTTGCAGTATGGTGGTAAGGAGAAGCTGTCGGCCCTAAGTCACAGCTGGGAGGAGCACAGGACACAGGTCAGTGGGACCACGAGACCCCTACTCTGGGTTTCTCCTCGGCTGGGAAACGTGGGAAAGGGCCACGGGCCGCGAGATCAGTGGATGAAGACGAGTTAACCAGGCCAAGGGCAAAGGGGAGAGCCTCCCAGCAGAGGACCCACCGGCAGCAAAGGTGGGAGACACGGAGCCACACGGCCTGGGACGGACCAGGAGCTGCGTGCCTACAGAGGTGGGGAGGCCACTCGAGCACCTCGTGCACAGAAAGGAATGGGGCTGTTTCCTGTGGCTTCAAAAGACAGATTAGGGCCTTTGAAGTCCCATGGCGGTAACTAGTTAGACTCAGATTAGGCTCCCTTGAGGAAGAGCTTTGCGTCCCGGCCAGTGCGTGAAGAACTGTTCCTGAGACTCCCGAAAGGGCCACTTTTTCCCAGAGCGGGAGATGGAAGCAGGGATCCCTGCTGTTCTGCCCACGCCGGCAGTCAGTCGGCCCATTACCCCCGGAAGGCGGAAGGCGAGCTGGAAGTCGGCAGTCTCTTCCCCCAGGCCGGCCCTTAGGAGGCGCATGTGCAGGTGGAGAACTGCAATGAGGTTCCTTAGACGGAGGACCCTCACTGTGTGCTTTTTTTCCATCCTGGTGTCAATGATCCACTGATGAGGGATCAGAGCGTCAGTTTCAAAAAACACCAGCTAGAACCCCAGCTTCTGAAAAGTGGGCCGAGTGTCCTCCCAGCCGGTTAGCCTCTCCCTAAGGCCCCCCAAGGGACGAGGAGTCTGGGGTCTCAGTCACCCCTGCGGCCACCCGCTTGCCCCGCCTGCCCTTGCCCTCCCGCGCACACCCCCCTCAGCTGGGGGGAAGGGGAGGCAGCGGGGCTCTGACCACTGGGGAGCCCCAGGGCATCGCGTTCTACCGGAAGGAAGCTTAGAAGTGGTGACTGGGCTTCCCTGGTGGCGCAGTGGTTGAGAGTCCGCCTGCCGATACAGGGGATACGGGTTCGTGCCCCGGTCTGGGAAGATCCCACATGCCGTGGAGCGGCTGGGCCCGTGAGCCATGGCCGTTGAGCCTGCTCGTCCGGAGCCTGTGCTCCACAATGGGAGTGGCCACAACAGTGAGAGGCCCACATACC